GTGCTTTTCAACTCCAGGATTCCCATTTGGTTCTGTTTTATCATTTCTGTCTCTTCAATAATATTCTCTGTTTGATAAACCAGCCATCATATCTTCTTTTATTTCTTTAATCATGATTTTAGTTCTTTGGACAAATTTCTAATGCTGCTTTAAATTCCTATCCTATCACTTTTGACATCTGGTTGCTCTGAAGGCAGTTTCTGTTGCCTGCTTTTTTTTTCCCCCCTGTTTACAGAGACATACTTTCCTGTTTCTTTGCACACCTTGTAAATTTCTTCTTGTTGTTGCAAATCAGACACTGTAGGGAATATACTGTTGCAACTCCAGGCACTGGCCCTGACCTCCATGGCTCATTATTGGTATGTGTTTGTTTGTTTAATGGGTGGCTGGATCACTTTAGTGAAGTCTATTTCCCAACCCCAACTCCCACTGTGAAGCTTCTGCTGGTGCTCCCCAGGGGCCATGTCCTTACACCCAGTCACCCTGGGATGACAGTGGTTTCGGCAAGAATCTCTGTCTCTTTTGTGTGTGTGTGTGATTTGGGTGAAAGTTTACAGAGCAAATTCACTTTTCATACAGCACCTCACATACACTTTGTTTCATGACATTGACTGCAATTTCACACAATGCAACAGCTCCCTTCCCACTTCCTCCCCATAGTTACCTCTTCCCTGTGTCCTTCCCTCCATGCACTCCTGGCCCCCAATCTGTCTCCCTGAGCATACACAACCTTTCTATTCTCCCATGACTGTTCTCTCCAGGGAATGTATCTACCTAATGTAAATGTTCATCTCACAAGCCTGACTTTTGTTTGGCTGGAAGCCACAGGAGTGGGTTCAATTCCAGACCTGAAGGGCAGGTAGGGGTCATAGTCTCAGTGGTTCCACCAGACTCTATCAGACCAGCAAACCTGGTCCTCTTTTTATTTTCCTTTTTCCCAAATGATTTTGAGTTTTGTTCCACATTGTTCTCCCACTCTATCCAGGACCTCCTACATAAATCCTTCCCTGAACAGTTGACAGTGGTAGCCAGGCACCACTTAGTTCTTCTGGTCTCGTACTCATATAGGCTGCAGATCACATGATGTACCAGTCACCTGGACTAATTGTTTTCATGTGTCTTTGGTTTTCTTCATTCTTCTTTGCTCTGGACGAGGAGAGAGCCATCACTGCATCTAGGTGGCAGCTTGCAAGCTTTTAACATGCCAGTCTTTGACTGTCTCTTTCCCTGGCCACACTCAACTGTCAAGTCCCAACTAGTTGGTGTGCTGTTTTTAATAATGAATGTGGGCATGAGTTGCTCCACAAACTGCTCCGATCAAATTTGGGCTTCTTTGGGAGCTCTGGTGGCATAGCACCTAAGGCATTTGACTGCTAACCAGAAGGCTGGCAGTTCAAATCCACCAGCCACTCCTTGGAAGGAAGGTTGGGCGATCTACTTCTGAGGTGTAGTGATACTGCATCAGAAACCCAAGGAGAGGTTGCTATGGGTTGGATCCAACTCAACGGCAGTGAGTTTGGTTTTGGGTTTTGAGGGAATATTTCCCAAGATGAATGTCTGAAATTTGTTTTCATTCTAGGAGGGCTCCTACCAGCTGCCTCTTTTCCCATGTCTGTCCAGCAAACTACTGGCCTGCAGTTTAACCTATACCTTCAATGAGTTACTCCATTTCCTCCTAACTACACTTCACTACAGCCGCTACTCTTTTTCAGAGTGCCTTAACTGTTGCAGATGGGTCAGTTCCTTTGGAAAGAGACTCAGAGCTCTTTGTTCTCTCATCTGCTTTTTCTCCCAGGCAACATCTGGGAGCCAGTGCTCTTGTGCTGAGAGCAGGGACACGGTGCACCTCTTTCTGGGTGCACCTCTGCTTTAAGAGTCATCAGTGAAGAAGGGGTTGCAGCAGCCTCAGATCTCCTGAGTTTACCTCTCCCAGCACAGAACTTCCACCACAAAAGCCAGGAGAAGGGCAATCAGGCTCTCAGTATTCTCTGTGGTGCTGCACCCAAGGCAGACCTCCATCCTATGGCAGGGGCCTGGGTGGAGGAAGGGAGGCCACCTCTTAGCCATGCTCACCCTGAACAGCCTCAGCAGCAGGCAGCTAGGGGCAGGATGAGTAATGTTGACACCCCGCCCTTCACACGAAGAAGCCCTCTGACTGGGAACTGAGAGGGATCCCTGTGTCGTTGGCTGAACCAGTCTTGAACGGAGTCTTCATCTTGCTGAGTTGGAAGACAGCAGGAAGGCAGCAGGCCTTGGTTCAAATAGCACAGACTCTTTCTGTTCCTACCGAGTGTTATGGACTGAACTGTGTCCCCTAAAAAGGTATGCTGACGTTCTGGTCCCCCGTACCTGTGAGTGTAACCTTATTGGAAATAGGGTTGTTGCAGATGTAATTAGTTAAGATGAAGCCATAGTGGAATAGGGTGGGCCCCTAATCCAGTATGGCCGGTGTCCTTATAAGAGAGACACAGCCAGAGACACAGCCAGAGAAAAGACGGTACATGCAGATAAAGGCACAGGTTGAATTATGCTGCCACAAGCTAAGGGACGCCTGGGACCCCTGGAGGCCAGGAGGAAGACATGCAACAGGCTTTCCCTCAGAATCTTCCAAAAGAAACCAGCCTTCCGGAGACCTTGATTTGGGACTTGCAGCCTCCAGAAGTATATGGAGAGACAACAGCTGCTGTGTAAAGCCACCCAGTTTGCAGGAATTTGTGATGGGAGCACTAGGAGCCTACTGCCCTGCGCTTTAAGTGGCTTTCCTGACTACATCGTTCTTCATTCACTGTACGCCTCCAGGACCATTTCAGACACTGGAAGTGGTTACGTCCTCTGCTCTTTCTGGGGACTGGTTCTTCAGAGCTCCTTACGCTGTCACACTGGAAGAGGAACTCATAGTGTCTACAGTGGACACGAACTCTTTGAACACCATCAGATGTGTCTTACAGCTTCTTTCTCCCTGACCTTTACTGTCCCTTCTGCTCTGCTGTTCATGGAACTGGGAAACTCGCTCAAGACTGCGTGATCAGTCCTTTGTTTCATTATTGTCTTGTTCTTTAGTATCGTGCCCTCAGCCCAAGAGCAGTGGCTCTCAGATGTTGCCTGGGAGATGTTTACTTGTGTTTTATTGACTATGCAAAAGCATTTGGTTGTGTGGATCATGACAAATTATGGATAACATTGAGAAGAATGGGAATTCCCAAACACTTGATGGTACTCATGAGGAACCTGTACTTGACCAGGAGGCTGTTGTTCGAACGGAACAAGGGGACACTACATAGTTTAAAATCAAGAAGGGAGTGTGTCAGGGTTGTATCCTTTCCCCATACTTATTCAATCTATATGCTGAGAAAATAATTCGAGAAGCTGGACTATATGAAGAAAACGTGGCATCAGGATTGGAAGAAGAATCATTAACAACCTGAGATACGCAGATGATACAATTTTGCTTGCTGAAAGTGAGGATGACTTGAGGCACTTACTGATGAAGGTTGAAGAATACAGTCAGCAGTATGGATTACTTCTCAATATAAAGAAAACAAAAATCCTCACAACTGGACCAATGAGCAGCATCACAATCAATGGAGAGAAGATTGAGGTTGTCACAGAACTCATATTGCTTGGTTCTACAATCGATGCCAGTGGAAGCAGCAGTCAGGACATTAGATGACGTGTAGCATTGGGAAAGTCAACTGCGAAGGACCTGTATCAAGTGCTGAGGAGCAAGGATGTCACCTTGAGGACTAAGGTGCGCCTGACACAAGCCATGATATTTCCAATTGCCTCGTATGCATGTGGGAGCTGGACAATGAATAAGGAAGACCAAAAAAGAGTTGATGCTTTTGAGTTGTGGTGCTGGCAAAGAATGCTGAAAGTACCTTGGACTGCTAAAAGAACTAACAGATCTGTCCTGGAGGAAGTGCACCCGAAATGTTCCTTGGAAACGAGAATGGCCAGACTTCGTCTCACCTACTTTGGTCATGTTGTCAGAAGGGACCATTCCCTGGAGAAGGATGTCATGTTTGGTAGGGTGGAGGGTCAACGAAAGAGGGGGAGGCCTTCAACTAGATGGACTGACATGGTGGCTGCGATGATGGGCTCAAGTATAGCAGGGATCGTGGAGCTGGCGCGGGATCGGGCTGTGCTTCATTCTGCTGTGCATGGGGTCGCTATGAGTCGGAAACGACTCGATGGCACCTAACAGCAACAACAGCAACAACATGCAATATTCTAATAAGGAGACTGGTAATATAAGTCAACTGAACTGTTATTCTAGTGGCTTTAGTGACTCAGCAGCTTTTGGTCAGTCAGCATCAGCATCACAACAGCAAGTCATCAGTAAGTCCCTATTCACGTGTGTGACACTGTGCCGGGGCCAGGGACAGAGACAGAGACCCTGAGGCATAATACTTAAGGTTCCAGAGTCAGACTTGAGTTACAATTCTGGCTTTGCCACTTATTGACACCTGCTTTGCATTATTACTTAACCCTCCAAGTCTCAGATCTTCATCTGTGAAACAGGGATGATGAGAGCAGGACCAACCACGTAGGGCTGTCGAGAGGCAGAAGGCATGGTGGTTAAGAACGTGAGCTCTGGGCCCTGTCTGAGTTCAAATCCCAGTTCTACCACTTACAAGGCAAACAACAAGTGACTTATCTTTTTGTGCCTTATTTTCTCATCTTTCAAATGGGGATCATAAGAGTTTCCACCTGACAAGGTTTGTGTGAGGATTCATATAAAGTGGTAAGAACAGTAAAAACAAAAACCAAACTCACTGCTGTCAAGTCGGATTCAACTCATAGCGACCCCTCCTTGGGTTTCTGAGGAGCTCTCACTATGGAAGTACGTTGCCCAATCTTCCTTCTGAGGAGTGGCTGGTGGATTTGAACTGCCAGCCTTCTGGTTACCAGTCAAGTGCCTTAGGCACTAGGCCACAGAGCTCCTAGGACTCATGAAATGTTAGCAAGCAGTCTTGAGACAGACTTCTTCCCACGTTAACTCTGAATCAAGCTGCATATTGCAATATTTAGTGTCTTACAATCACTGCCAGCGTGTTTTCCAGGTTTTAACATTTCTGACACTAGGCTGTCCCTTACCCTGGATGGCGTCTTAGCGTCAATGCACTGAGCATAGCACCTGGGCTGTAAGACACTGTATATTGATGGAATGAATGACTCAGCACACAATGTCCGTCCATCGATCTGTAACAGGCTGTTTGCTACAGCCTCTCTCTGTTGGCAGGTTCTGCAAGAAATGGATTCCATTTCTCCAGTTCCCCACTTCCCCCACTACTTTCAAGACCTTTAAGAGCTTTATTTCTAAACACAGCTTGCTCAGATGTCTAAACACTGCCACTTGCCGGAAATTCTCCCCTCCCTTGAGCTTTAGGAAGCAAAAATAAGAATTCTCTGAGGCACCTAACAACAACAACAATAAAAGTCACGCATCTGACATTGCCAGACTTACTAAACAAAGGAAGTGATACCGTAGATTCTTGAAAAAGCACAGTGCCGCTTACTAACTGATGCTAGCTAAGTTCAGGAGTTGTTTCACTTTGTTGTCTAAGACACTCTTACAGCTGCTGTCACACACACACGCACACACACACACACGATCAAAGTGAAGAACCTCCACCAGACCTTATATATTTTAACACTCATGTAAGCTACTGCACTACAGAAGTGGGTTCATACCAAGCAACTGTGAGGAGGGCGCGGGCCAGGCGGAGTTCGGCTCTGTTGTCCATGGGGGCACTGTGAGTCAGAACCAACCGGACGGCACCTAACGACAGCACTGGGAGTACCCAAACCAAGCCCACCTCACGCCATCGAGTTGATTCCAACTCACAGAGAACCCCCATAGGGTTTCTAAGGCCGTAAATCTTTAGGGAAGCAGACTGCCTCATCTTTCTTCCATGGAACAGCTGGGGGAGTCGAACCACCAACCTTTTGCTTGGCAACCAGATGCCTTAACCCCTATACCACGGGAATGCCTTCCACTGGGAATAAGATGGCTAACAAGTAAGATTTCTGGATAAATGGGGTTTTTACTCTTTGAACACAAAACTTTTTGCCATTGTAGCCATTTTAAATGGGGATCTTTTTAAAACATACACTTTCCTCAGGAATCATGTGGCTGTGGCTGCCTGTCTGGCATATCGCAGGGAAGATGGACGTCAACCTGCTGCTGTCCAGCCTGCTCTCTGTTGTTTTGTTTTGTTTTGTTTTCCCTCAAGTCCATGTTTTATATTTTCAGTCTGGTCCCCACGCTGGACTATCATTTGTCACTTGCTGCCACTGCTGGCATGCCGAGTTCTGGAAGGCCCTTGGAGCTAAGAGCTCTATTTTTAATAAGTTTTAGACCAAGAAACCAAATAACTGAGTTTGTTACAATTATAGTTAAAATAAGATTAAAGACTAAACCTTCACCCAAATCACAATACAAATTAAAAAAGAAAAAAAAACACTTAGAAAAAAGATAAAAAGATTAAATATATTCCTATAAACAGATTACCTATAAATAAAATACACAAGACTGCAACTTATAAGAAATACCACATAGTCCTATATGGAAGGCAAACCCCTGTTTTCCCAGTAAGAAGATCCAAAAGTCTTTAACTGACTTACACACACAAACTTTTATGGATATACAAAACCTTGTCTGTTTAGTGTAGCAGCTTTATCAGTGATTTACTAGTTCATACATATTTTTAATCACATGTAATATATATTCATTTGGAAACAAAGCTGTTTTCCTGCTTTGACTTGACCTCTGCATAAGTATCTGAAACACGAGAGACTTCTGCATCACAGAACGGCTCCCCGATCTGACAGAGTGCCGGGGCACGTCATCTGCACTTGAGCCTAAGTTGTGTGCGGTAATACGGCACTGAAATCACCCGTGATGAAGTCATCACAGGTCTATCCCTAGCACAGTAGTCACTTACAAGACATCAGGGTGGGACTTATTTCATCAGTACTGCAGGTACACTGTGATCTGTAAAATATGACCCTCTCTGTGGCTTTTTTAGAGTATTTACAAGACCACCTTGCCCTGATGTCTCATACTTGCAACCCCGAGGTCAGGCCCCCAGGGACTTGCTAAACGTGGGCCACAGGTCTGCCCCCTTCTCCTGTGCCGTCAGGTAACCTCGACACTCGGCCCAAAGCAGTCCTCACAAGGCTGTGTCAGGTGAACCTGCTTTCCTAAACAGATTTGATTGTTCCAAGTAAGTACCTGAAGGAGCGCCCTGTAATGGGAGAGACTTTGTAAGGATTCAGCTATGAGGGGATGCCCTCTCTTGAGGAATGACTTTGGGGGAACCCTGCCTTGTTTTAAGGACAGAACAATAGTGAGGAACAGTGAGCTTGGGAGAGGAGTCGCCCTGAGTGCTACAGGCCTGGGTTCACAGCCCAGTCCCAGCGCCTGTGGGGAGGACATCTGAGGGGTGGGTGCTCTGTGCCAGCAGCCACCAGTCA